ACAGGTGCGCACTACCACGCCCGGCTGATTTTTTTATTTATTGTAGAGATGCGGTCTCGCTGCCCAGGCGGGTCTCAAACCCACGGGCTCAGGCAATCCACTCACCTCAGCCTCCCAAAGGCGCGAGATTACAGGCTGAGCCACCGAGCCCGGCTCTCCTGATAATTCTAATAAAGTTCCTGTTTATTCTATGGTATCAATTTATTGGTTATAAAAAAAGAAAAAATGTAACCTTTCAGAAGGAAACTAGGAACACCCCCCCCTGCCTTGTCACACTCCATGAGGGTATTAACACTGAACTCAATTCCTTTGTGTTTTTGTGTGGGTTCAAGTTTTTAGCATGGGAATTTGATCAAATGCCTCTAACTTTCCTAAGAGCCAAAGCTAGAAATGAATGGGAATCACTCACCTTGAACAGCTGGGCCTAGACCACAAGAGCCCACCTGATCCCTCCCACCATGGAGAAGGAAGGACAGTCACACCTGTCTTCACATATAAAATGTTTATTCTCAGCATATGCTTGTGCATGGGCTAGGAGGGTGGTTTTGTGGGACTTTGCCACAGTGAACTCGGGGAGGCCTGGCCAGGTCACCAGCACCACTGGATGAGATTTGGGAGGGTGGCAGCAACCATGAGGCCTGGAACAAGGTATGGAGAGGCTTTTGAGGGCCTCTGGAGGTCATGACTGATTGGCCACTTGGCTGTCTCCTGGCCTGTAACCAGGGGTCCATTCTGAGACAGGAGGTAGGAGTGGCAGGACCTGTTCTGATGCCTGTCTGGAAATTCAGCCTCCACAGGGCTCTGCCAGCTGTTTGCCTCTCTCACCTGGGGGTGGAAGTCAGCAGTCAGAGGCTCCCACAGCTCTCCTCTCACCTGCTGCAACCACTGAGCCATCCTTTTGACCAGCACAGTATACCTGTTCCACTTGTCTGAAGACCCGCAGCAGATTTCCTCGAAGGACACCTTGAAGCTCTTTCTCACTCCAGCCACGACTCAGCAACTCCTCTATCAGTACTGGGTATGTAGACACGTCCTCCAGCCCCCGAGGGAACCTGTGTGGCCACCCACCAGCCAGCTGTGGCACCTTAGCCCCTATCCTGATCTAGGGCCCACTGTGCCACCAGCCCCAGTCACATATGAGAAATGGAAGGCCAAGGTTATCAGGGCAGTGAATTCAACTTTGGAAGTTCCTTGAGGAGTGACCTTCTGTAGCCTTCCCCAGCTAAGTAGATCATCAGCCCACAGCAGATCTGCTGGGCTGGGACTGGTGCATGTGCTGGACAGATAAGCTCTGCCTGGGGAGGGAAGTACTTAGCATGTGTGAGGTCCTGGAGTCATGGGGTCACAGGAGGGAAAGGAGAACCTAAGAAACAGGCCCTGAGAGTAGGGGGTATCAGGTGGGCTGCAGCCCAGAGCTTGTGGCCTAGGCCTGAAGGATGGGAGGACCCCAGGATCGGAAAGACTAAATGACCCCTGTTGTACTCCAGCCCGAGACAAACCCAGGAAAGCACTTACCAGTCAAACCCGTCATAATTTGCACCAATACCGATGAACTCAGGTCCAATGACTTCCCTGATGTGGTCAAAGTGATCTGGGGGTATAGGTGAGTGGTGGGCAGTACTAGGCTGGAGTCAGACCCCCAGTACTCCAGGCCATGGTGGTTGGCTCCACTAATGGCCAGTCACAAGTCCTGAAGTGATTTCAGGCTGGTCACTGGACCTCCAGTGGACCTCAGAGCTACCCCTTTGGGCCTTTCCTTGCCCAGAAGCCACGCTATCTCTGGTTTCCTTAGGAACCCGATGAGGATTCTGCCTGTCCTGCCCAGAGATGTAGGGAATGAGAGAGGTTAAAGGATTCTGAGTAAAAATGAGACTCAGAGGCAGAGGCATCAAACCTGTCAGCATTGACTCTGTGGCCCCAGATATAGGTAGCAGTAAAGAGTTGTCTGCTGCTTTAGGTGTTGGGAGGTCTGCCCATTGCTCAACAGGTATGCTAGAATGCTGGAGTTGTTCTGGGGGCCCCAGCAACCACAACCCAAGCTAGCACTATACAAAGAGCCAAGGTAGGGCTCACCTGCCACGGTGGACACGTTAGCAAACGGTTCACACTGCAGCACCCCCATGGACAGTGTCACCATCACGATGCCACCCTTTTTCTTCTACAGGGATAGAAAAAAGAACACTCAGCTTGGCCCTTTTAGTCTGATGGCTTGCCTGTCATGCTGTGGTGGCCCTGGTAGGACAGCACTCATTTCTGGTTTCAGGGATTGGAAGAGGCTTCGCTTCTCCGGATTTGTAGGTCCTGAGTGGAACTGATTTGGCCTTGAGTTTCAGAGACGGAGGCGGAGTAATCAGTTTTGGGCCCAAGGGTGTATAATACCTGAACTGGTAGCTTTCTTTGCTCAGGGTCAAGAATCTTTGGATGAAATATGTCTAACCTTGGGTTTCAGGGCTGGGGTGGCTGCTCACCAGAAGCTTCAGGATGTCATCAGGAACATTCATAAAATTGTCACACACAGCCCTGGCAGCTGAGTGGGAGAAGATCACAGGAGCCTGCGACACTTCCAGTACCCGCCTCACCAAGGCATCCGATGCATAGGACAAGTCTATCATTATGCCCAGGCGGTTCATTTCTTCCACCACTTTCTGCAGGGACAATTGGGGTTCTTTTGGGTGGGGAAAGGTATCAGGTGCACAAAGGTATGTGCACATATCTGTAGGGGACAGGTGGGGTGGGATACATAACAGGAGCTCTCACCTCACCAAAGCTTGTCAACCCGCTGATGTTGGTGTACAAGTGGTATATGAGCTTGTTAGAACTCTCTGCCCTGCAGGATAGCAACGGAAGGACAATTTAGACGGCTACACCTTGGCCATTAGAGCCTGGAGACCCTCTTGTCTATTCATCCATCCTACCTCTGGAACAAGTGAGGACCCAGGGCTAGCTAATTTCTGGGAGTGTGAGGGACCTGTTGGGGGTCCAGTCTCCCTTTATGGACTCCTTAATCCTAAACTCTCTGGTCAGGCCCATTTGAGGGAAGGGGCAGTTTCCCCACCACACCATCTACCATTCCAGCCTGGCCAGGCAGTGCGCTCACCAGGGCGTGCTGCAGGTGGAAGTGATTGTCAGGTAGCGCACTCCCAGCAAATAGAAACTGCGCAGCACGGAGAGGCTGCTGTCCAGTGAGTGACCACCCTCCACACCAATGAGGCAGGCCAGCTTCTGAGAGCTGTTCAGACCTAGAAGGTAGAGAGCCCAGTGGTCAGAGCTCAGGAACAGAACCACCAGAATGGCAACCTATCTTCCCATCTGCCAGCCTACCTTCAGCTGAGGTCACAAGCTCCAGTTCAGAGTAGGAGGTACACATGCGGCGAATAAGGTCAATCTGTTCCAGGGCGAGGCGCACAGCATCCTGTTCCTGGGCCTGGCACTGGACGTTGGCTGACCAGAACTGAGGATAGGTCGGATAGGTCCAGAGGCCAAGATGAGGCCAGGGTGGTCTTCAACCCCCTGCCACTCCTGCCTCCACCCCCAGAGCACCTGTTTGGGTATGGCGCCTCAAGTGAGGCACTGTGTGACCCCATGGTACATGATGACTACTAAATTTCCTGCCAGCACTAAAGATGGACTCATAGCACATCACAACTGCTCTTTGCCCATGCCCTATGTGAATGGCCCCAAAGCCAATCTACCACATCCTTTGTGGTACCAGCAGCCACTCACTCACCAGGGATTTTCTGGTCATTTTCTCCACAGAAGCTGGGTACCCGTGCAGCTCACCTGTCTTGGCCTCCAAGGCCCCACATTCTCCAGCAGTCACATGATGGCACACTGCATGTCACATGGTAACTTAAAAATTTTTTTTTTTCTTTTTGTAGAAGCATGGTCACACTTATTGCCAAGACTGGTCTCAAACTCCTGGGCTCATGGAAATCCTCCCACCTCAGCCTCCCAAAGCGCTGGGATTATAGGCATGAACCACCGCATGGTGCCTAATCACCCAGAAGCTGGCCCACCCAGGTTTCTGCGGCCCCAACATTCCCCAGCAGCCATGCTGTGGCAGCTTGTGTGTCCCTATGGTACCTGGGCACCCACGAGGCCATCTCTAAGCCTGTCCAGGCTGGTCTGGCCATGGCTGAAATTGCGCAGGTTAACATCCCGTAGCCGGTTCTGGTAAAGCTGTCTCAGGAGCCGGGGCAAGGCGTTGTGGCTAGAGGGTGTCAAGTCAAGCTCTTAATGGGGACATGGCCTCCAGGTCAGGCAGGACATATCAACATGCCTGGGGCTACCCTCCCCCACCCCACCAGGCCCCTTGTCACACAGACAATATGGAGACCTCCTGAGGCAGGGTTGGAGGGAGAAAATGGGGTAATGGGGGAAGGGCATCAAGGTTGGTGAGAGGCATCAAGGTTGGTGTGAGGTAACCCCCTCGCTAGCCTGCACACCCAGAACCCCCCACCCTGCCCTGGGGGGGATGTTCTCAACTCCCCTTGCCCTCACGCTGCACACGCACCCGTCCACGAGCGGGAATTCCCGCATCAGGGCCCGCACGCGCCCCCTCAGGGCTCGGTCGCTGGGGGGCACGGGCGAGGGGAGGGTATTGGGGGTGTCCGGTGTGGTGGCGGTGCCCGGGGTGGTCGGGACACTGGGAGTGCCCAGCGTGATGGGGGATCTGAGAGCGCCCGGCGTGGTCTGGGCGCGGGTTACGGGCGGCAGCAGCAGAAACAGGAGCAGCAGACGCAGCGGAGGCCGCCGGCCGGGCGCGCTGGGATGCTCGAGGTCCGCGGGCCTCATGTTGCGCAGAGGCCGGTCACCGGTCACCGGAGCCTGGGAGTAACCGCCGGAGGGCAAAGGTCGACGGTGGGATCCCGACCGTCGATTCAGGCGACCCAGACGTGCGGCTTCACGAAGAGGGGCTTCCAGTCACGCGACTCTGCGGGAGACGCCCGGGGATCGACGACGCCGAGCAGCGCGGTCGCCAGGGAGCGCCAAAACCGTCCCGCCTCCCCTCCCCCGCCCCCGTCAAGAAGGGCGCCCCCTGGGCGGGTCCGGTCTCTGCCTGCAGCGTCGTCTGCTCAGACGCGTGGTGTACTCCCCTCCC